AAAACAATGTATGACTATAGGTGGTGGGAAGATGGTTTAGCCAGGCAGGCCTGAAAGATCTGAGTTTCTCCCAAGCTCCCACATAAAAAATGCTAGACTTCATGGTACAGCCCCGAGATCCCAGTGCTGGTGGGGGAGGGTGGTCTTGTGGGGGGCAGAATCTGTGGGTAGAGGGCGGAGCTAGAGTCTCCAGAGCAAATGAGTGGGCTCCAGGTTCCTTGAAAGCCCCAGCTTCAAGAAAAGGGTGGAAGCAGAGCCCTGTAGTACACACCTTTAATTCCAGCATCTGGAGGCAGAAGCTTTTAGCATTCTGTCTAAGCTCCACCCCCGTGGTTCCCTGGCAACAGCCAAGAAGGCTGGCCCACTATAAGAGGGGCTGCTTGCCCCCTCCTTGCTCTTGCACTCCTGCTCTCTTGCTTCTTTCTTCCCCTCTCCCCTTTCTCCACATGTTCACGGCCGGCCTCTACTTCTCTATTCTCTCTCTCTTCTCCCCCCCCTCTCCCGCCTCCGCCTCTACCACCCTCTAACTCCCCTCCCCCATGTCCTGAATAAGCTCTATACTATACCGGTGTGTAACTGGTCCCTCAGGGGAATGGATGCCGCAGCATGGGTCCACTGAGACACCCCCTTTCCCCACCCCTCACCACACACCTCCACAGAACATACTCTCTTTATGTTTTTATAAACACAACAGAAGCTGGTGGAATTTCTGTGAGTTCAAAGCCAGCCTGGTCTACAGAGTGAGTTCCAGGACAGCCAGGGCTACACAGAGAAACTCTGCCTCGAAAACTGAAAACAAACATATATTGTAAGGCATGTGGACCATGCCTGGTATGGTGGAGCATGTCCAGGTGCTGGAAATCTCAAAAATTGAAATTAGAATCTCATCCTGACCAAAAAAAAAAAATCTCATCCTGAGACTGACAGGAGTAGGGTTAACTCCCTCCCTGTTCCATGCCTGCCTCTGAGCTGTCACCAGGTGGTCAAGGACAGTCAGTTAAGTACTCAGCACCTGGATTGCCTCTCCACGTTTATGAAGCATCTCAGTAGCCTTAGCCTTCATCCGGTGACCTTTTCCTCCCTGGATATTCTTATGCCCTTTTCCGAAAGCTACATAACACCCAAATGAAGTGTATACATTCAAACCCATCCCCAGTAAAGAAATACAAACAAGCTAAGATCATCTCAGAGAGCTGCTTCCTTAAATATCTCAGGAGAAGGCTCCTTCTCACCCATCCCTCAAATTCCCACCCTCCCCTAACCCCTGCCTGCTAGCATTTCTTCTAGGCTCCACCCAACAGTTACCTAGCAATAGCCAAATAGGCCTGGCTTGCTATAAAAATGACTGCTCCCTCCCTGCAGCTCTCTTTATTCTCTCTTACCCTTTTCTTCTTTTCTCCCTTCTCTCCTCCCCCACTCTCTCTCTATGTGTTCCCAGCCAGCCTCTTCTCTTTCTCTCTCTCTCTGTCCTCAATCCCCTCTCTCTGCTGCTACTCCCTTCTCAAACTTCCTTTCTTTTTTTTTTTTTAAAGATTTATTTATTTTATATATGTGAGTACACTAGCTGTCTTCAGACACACCAGAAGAGGGCATCGGATTCCATTACAGATGGTTGTGAGCCACCATGTGGTTGCTGGGAATT